CAGGCACCCAAGTGATCGGTAAAAAAAAAAAAGTAGTTCAAGGGCCTTTGGCTGTTTTTTCGCAAACTAGAGATGAGAGGTTTATTTTCTGTTTTACTTGTAATTTCGACGAGTTGAAGCTGCTGTCCCGTAAAATAGGAAAAACAGAAGAAAAACAAAAGGAAAAAGGAAAATGAATTATGTTCGCGCGCACGTAGCAAAAGACGCGCATACATCCCCCACGGCGGTACTTATGTGTATATATATATACGCGCTCGCTAATGAATGGCGCGTATCACAACCACCTCGTCCCCTCAAAATTACCCCCACGGGCGAAACTGCAATACCCTCGCGCCGGCAGCTCGCGTTTCACGTTATAACCCAAAGAGCAGGAGCTAGTGAAGCTTCTCTGCGGCTATAAATATACGTGTACATGCTTCTTCCTCACCTTCGCCTCTGGCGGCTGCGTGCAGTGTTGGGGGTAACGCGAGCCGCGCACAGGTGCTCACGAGAGCCACGCCCAAGCTGAACCCTTCCTTTTCCCGCGTTTCCTCGCGCGTCCTATTTCCACCGAGAAGCGATTTTCATTCGACAATTTGTTACGAAATTAAAAAAAAAAAAATAATAATGTGACAATAACTACGCGCATCCATAATAGCAGCAAAGAAAACGATCCGTGTCGCATTCAATTTGCGCGACAACCACAAATCACCCTCCCTCTCATAATAATCCCATTACGCGAGTCCCATGAATGTAAAAAGGACAAACACATTGTTTTTTTTTTTTTTTGGTCCTCCATCCGTGCTTTCAACGGCAGCCGAGCAGAGAGAGAGAGAAAAATACATCCCCCAGCAGCAGAGACTTCCCATAAACCATCCACTCATCCGCGAGCACCAACGAGCCGAGTCGCGTGTACTTACGGTCCTTCGTCGAGTATTTCAGGACCTATATACATATACGTACGTACAGATGCCTAAAAACACAAGAAGCCCCCCCCTGCCATGTCTCTTTCAGGGGGACAGATAATATAATCCGTTTAATTATCTGTCGGCGCTTACACGAACAATTTAAGTCGCGGCCCGTTAACCGCGATGCTTTTTGTCATTAGCATTTAGAGGAAGAGGGGCCGTATATATATATATACGTACGTAGCGGCTGGTGCTCGCAAATTACCGCCGCGTGCGCTCGTATAATGTTCAAGACGAGAGAAACGGGGAAGGGGGAGGTTACATTAATTAATCGGGCCTCCGCTGCGAACGGCCTCAACTCGGGTACGTGAGCGAGGAGGAGATGACGCCCGTCGAACCTTAATTCGCGTTGTACTTTGTATATTCGTTGTTTCGTCGGACGCGCGCGCGGGGGGTTTTGATGATTGAGGTTTTGTTTGCGCACTACAGTTTTTTTTTTTTTTTTTTTTTTTCTTTTCCACGCCAGAGTGCAGTGGGAATATTTAACGCCGATCGCGGGGGAGGGAGAAATAGTAGTTTTCCTACGAGTTTGAAAAGTCTCTGTTTGCGAACCGAGAGGTTTGCGGCCCGAGCCGAAGGCGAGGGACGTAACGAGGTTCGTAAAGGAGACTTTTTGAACGAGTTCCGGAAAACTGCTTTTTCGCCCGAGGAAGTACCAGCCTCCCAAAACCACCCGAGTGCGGAAAATTAATTTTTTTGCTGGATCCGAGTTTTAATTACTGTCATACATTTTTTGTGTTTGATTCATCGATAAGATTATCACGCGGTTCATAGGAAAGAAGATTTTACTTGTTTTTTCCGTCTTTGTCAACTTATTTATTATTTATACGGCCGTTTCGTTTGTCAGAATTGTTGATTCAAAGGGAATTAATGTACACAAGTAGAAAATAATTTTAAAATGCTGTTTTTCATTAAATATGTTTGGATATATAAATAACATGAACATGGCACTATGGAAATACAAAGTATAATTACAGAGTATAATCACTGACATTGTCAACTTATTTCATTTAAAAGATCAAATATTGTTGAACTTTATTGAATTGGTTTTTTTTTCATACGGTTGAACTAAACAAATGGTTTGTCGTAAATAATGAGAAAACTAATAAAGAGCCTTACGTCAAATGACAATCAATTGTTAAAGATACGAATGTTGATATGGTACGTGAAAAAAGGAGGGTAATCCTAAATAGCTCGACTAATGGTTGCATTAAAATTTTTACGAATCTTATTTGCAGTTGGAAATTATAATATGAGTAATGTTGCTTATGTAAATTTTAATACTTCTTCGTATGCAAACAATAAACGAATCAGTATAATATTAACTTATAAATTCTGAATCAAAGAAGCTTAATTTTAAAAAATGCAATCTAAAAAATGATTTAAAGACATTATTTTAAAAAGTAATAAAGAGCGAACTATAACATTCACTTAATTTTTCATTCACTAACACTTTGTTAGTACTCATTTATTTGTCACATAGTTACTGTAGGGTCATCCAAAATATTAAATATTACGGAACTCGCTTAAAATTAGTTACAATAGTTTATTGAATTAAAATAAATCGGTTTCAAGCTCACATGCAATCTTATTTAACTAATAAAAATCATAACATTTGAATGGAGTTGTTTCATAAACTTTAACAATATTAATTTTTTTGTATAACGTATTTATTTAAAAAAAGTACATTTGTAGTTAAAAACTGCAAAATAAAATACAAAATACAGCTTATATAAAATATACTACTTATTAATCAATAATCATTTAATAGTTCAGCAAAAAATTCAGTTTGTTAAAATATATTTAAACAACAATAAGAGTACAATTTTATGAGCTTTTGCAATGTTTCCGGAACCATTTTGCTTTGTAAAGATAACACGTCAAAATCATTGCTTGAATTCGTACGTATTGTGCACAGGTAGTACTAGAAGAATACAGCAACTATCAAAAAGTCTTGGACTTTTTCTCACCGTGAAATCGTTGTAAAAGCCGAATAATCATGATAACAATCGTGACCTTATTAGCTAAATTATTTGAATCTTTTAATAAGATACTTCGACTTTTATGTTTCTATCAAGTGCACTTTATTGATGGATTGTTAATACTACCAAATTAGTAATTCTAATATAATTACTATTACAATATGCATTAAAAAGAAAAAAAAATTCTCTGACAAAGTGTCTTTAATCATGCGTTTTTACCCTCTCCTTGGTTAAAAGTCTTTAAAATTATACATTAAACTAAAATAAAAAAACAGGTAACATTTCCTTTCTGTTAATTTTGATGTTCCCTTATGGCACACGCGAAACACTTGTAAATAAACAATACAATTTTTTCGTTGATGATTATGAAACATACACTAAATAATTGTACTGAGATGAGTCAATGATATTTTAGTTAGATGATGGTTTTCAAAAATGTTTATTGAACTACAAACTTAAAACATACGAGGTTGTATTACATTTTCTTTTTGAAAAGTAAATATTACAATTTGACTGTAATTGCAGTATTTTTAAAAATTGTTTCCCAGCATAGAATAGACTTAGACATAACTCACAGCAAAGGCAGTTTCCAGATCCCATCTACTGCATCGCATTTATTACGAGTAAAAACACAAAAGTAGGTAATAATTTAAACACCCCAGATGATCAGCACTTGCTACTAACAAAGTGTTTGTCATTTCAGAACATTTGAGTTGGTGACACTTTTTTTTAACTTATTTGTATGGATCAGCACGTGGACCGTAAGCCAGTGTGTATTGTCCGGAAGAAGATTTTTGTCATACGGAACAGTCAAAGGGTTAATTGCCTGGATGAATTTTCATATGCCTTGTAAGATGACTTTTTTGTCTAAATTTTTTCAGACATATTGCACACTCAAATGGTTTTTCGTCCGTATGAATTCGCATGTGATTTGTCAGAGTGTTTTTTTCACGAAAGAATTTCGCACACACTGAACACTGGAAAGGCTTTTCGCCCGTATGGATAAGCATGTGCTTTTTAAGATTTCTGGGATCAGTAAATGTCTTTTGACATACGGAACATTGGCCACCAACTTGACCCGTGTGGATTCGCTTGTGGATCGTAAGGTTACCAGAGGTTGTGAATGTTTGTTTACAAATAGTGCAGCTATAAGGACGCTCACCTGTGTGGGTGCGCATGTGCTTTTGAAGACTGCTCCGGTCGGTAAATGGTCTTTGGCAGATGGTGCAATTACTATAAGGTACGCCCGTGTGGACGCGCATATGAGTCTCGAGTGTGCTTTTGAGGCTGAATGATTCTGTACAGTCTGAGCACTCAAAGGGTTTCTCCTCCGAGTGGGTCCTCATATGCCTTCTAAGATTACCTTTTTGGCTAAATTTTTCCAGACATATTGCACACTCAAAAGGTTTATTGCCCGTATGGGTCCTCATATGAGTTAAGAGGGAGGACCGCTGACTAAACCCTCGTTGGCATACCGAACACCTTTGGGGCTTCTCCCCCGTGTGGGTCCGCATGTGCACTTTAAGATTACTCGGGTTTGTAAATGGCCTTTGGCAGATGGTACAGTGACAAGAAGGTATGCCTGTGTGGAGCCGCATATGGGCCTCGAGATGGTGTTTATGTCTGAAAGATTTTGGACAATCCGAGCACTTGAAGGGTTTCTCACCAGTGTGGATCATCATATGCGTTTTAAGATTACGTGGATCGGTGAACGGTCTTTGGCAGATGAGGCATTTATCACATGCTTCACCCGTATGAAGGCGCCTGTGTCTCGACAGATGCTGACTTTGGCGAAAAGATGCTGGACAATCTCGGCACTTAAAGGGTTTCTCCCCAGTATGGATCATCATATGCGTTTTAAGACTGCCCATGTTAGTGAATGGCCTTTGGCATACGGTACAGTGACAAGAAGGTATGCCAGTGTGGACGCGCATATGAGTTGTTAGATGGTTTTTTTGTCTAAAAGATTCTGGACAATCTGAGCATTGAAAGTGTTTCTTTTCGGTGTGGGTCCTCATGTGCACTGTGAGACTACTGGAAGATATAAAACCTTTTTGACATACCGAGCACTTGAAGGGACGCTCTCCCGTATGGATCCTCATGTGCACTTTAAGACTACTAGGGTCGGTGAATGGCCTTTGGCAGATAGAACAGTGACCACATGGTATGCCAGTGTGGACTCGCATATGAGTTGTGAGGTGGGATTTTGATATGAAAGATTCCGGACACTCTGAACAATTGAAAAGGTTTTCCCCTGTATGGATTCTCATGTGTGACATCAAACTTGATTTATATTTAAATCTTTTAGAACAAGTGGAGCATTTGAAGGGTTTTTCCTCTGTGTGGGTCTTCATATGCTTTTTAAGACTTCTCAGGTCTCTAAATGGCTTTTTGCAGATGGAACAGTGACCAAAAGGTATGCCGGTGTGTTCGCGCATGTGCTTCAGTAAATAGCTTTTTTGGCTGAAAGATTTTAAACAATCAGAGCACTCGAAGGGTTTTTCCTTTGTGTGAATAAGTTTGTGCGTCATGAGATGGGAATTGCTGGTAAATTTTTTTCCACATGCATCGCAAAGGTGAGAGCTCTTGGATGACATCCTTCTAAACTCGGCTCTAGGACTGAAATGATGATAATGTGTGACTTGTAGTTCTGAAATTTGAAAATGCAAACGATTTGTTTAGTAAGTTATCCTTAGTATTAAAATGAAATTCAACTTGAAATTAAATGTAACCGCACAACCGTGTAGTGTATACAATGCCATTTTAAAGGTGATTAAATGTATAAAAATATTTATTTTGAAATACGGACAAATAAAAAATTCTAATAATATCTAGCAATGTGTTTCCTGACTTCGGATAATCAAATTGTATACATTGATTCATGAGTATTTTAACACTATTATTGTATTTCGCGTGCTGTTTTGCAATATTTTTTTAAGAGTTTTATAGCACGAAAAGCAGTCAAAAATCACGTGATATGGCACTGCGTATTTTTTTCAGTCGTTTTTTACAGCACGTGCCGAATTTTATGTAGGTTCAAGGACCAAAATGTGTTGAAAAATATTTTCTATTTTTTGTGCTTTTCTTTACTTTTGGACGTTAATTGCCTCCTTATACGTAAGAATTTCAGAGTTTGCACTTAGTGCACATCTAACCGGGACAATCACAACGAGCCTCGTGCTTTTCTTGGTGACATGTGCCCGGTACGAAATTACTATTTAGTGACCACACAAACAACACTGAGTGAGGTTAGAAGTATGGTCATACACTCCGGTAATTATTAGACTACGCTAAAGAAAAATAATGTCAAGCAAGAAGAAATCGTATTGTTCAGTCTAAAGGAGAAACAACTATTTCTGATGACGAAACCAAGACGATATTCTTTGTTATAGTGTTAAGTTGTGCTCATTTTGAAAGTTCATACTATACAGTCACCACAACTGTTATTACGACAATTGGAAGCACAATACATAGAAGAACACGTATTAGGTTACTGATAAAAAGTCTGTTATCTAATTGAATTTCAAGTAATATTTTCACAAAACTTATTACTTTCTAGCATGATTGTCGAGAATAATTAAAAATTTACATTAAGTTAAGTTTTTCTTTCTATTTTCCCATACTATTGTTATATAGTCTTTACTCCCTAACGAGACTCAATAGAACCTCTTCGATGGCATGATCAAAAAACTTGACGAAAAACATTTTGCTAGTTATATCCGTGACTTACGAGTTTGTGTGTGGCAATCACTACTTGTTCAGTAAATCATTTTACAGAAAAACATGTTTTAGAATTAGATGTACACAAAGAAGTTGTGCTTTATTCTTATCTATCTTATGAAACGAAAAACGGCCATTGAATATATTTTTGACACCTTTTTGCGGAAAATATTTATAATCGATACAAACTTTTTAGGAAGAAAAAATGTGTGGATCAAATGACATGAGTTTTTGTCAGAGTAAACATAAATTTTTTTTAATGTACAACAAAAACTTACTTATTTTAGATCTCTAATTAGCAGCTTAGAAACAATGGTCGTGCTGTCCAAGCACTCGTTTCGTCGAATTTTTTACTAAACTGGATACCTTGTTTGTCGTATGTTACAACGAAAATAGTAGGAGTTAGTACTGAGGCCTAAAAGAAACTGATTTTTACGTTTTCGAGGTTAAAAAAATATGAAAACAAAAATAAATACTTACGCACTGTACGTATGTACACTGATTATCAAATATTACGACAATAATCCCTGCAGAATGTCCTTGAATTTTACACTCTGTGGATGACTGGAAAATGTCAACGTTACAAGAAAACGTTCGAATGGGCTCTGCATTTACACTGGAAGAGGTGATTTCTATATCTGTATTTCACGGCAAGCAGCAAGCGACGAATGTTAATTGTATAATAATGGATTTCGACTTTGAATTTCATCATGAGCAGTTTTAAAGCAGTGTGTCACTGGATATAGTTGGCTCGACTATAACTCACATGTTGTATCATCAATAAAAAAAAGAGCTTCAAGACTTTAGAGCGTTAGATTCGAAATACCGAATAGTAAAGTAATTTTTTCTGCAACGAAGTTTGTCCATTTATGTGTTTTATAAATACTTATTTAAAAAGATATGTTTTCATACCAAGTACTTTGGCAAAAATAGTAATATTGAGAAAAATGAAGAAAAAGTAGAAAATATGGTAGCGATTTGGAAAAATATAAATGCGGGGACTGATAGTTATAGGTTTCAATTTAGATACAGGCAACTTCTAAACAACGTTAAAATTCAAGGGTACATATTATTTGTTTGTCTAAAGATGAAAAAAACCTGAAATTTCCACGCAAATTATACTTTTTAATGTTTTGCACACAATACAACGATGTAATGAAATATTCTACGTACAACTTTTAGATATTTCTATATCAAATCAAGGAATATATCAGTTATTTCTTCAAGTTAATGGTTTTCAGATCTTACATTCTAGATAAATCATCATAACTTCTAAAAGATAATTTATTTCTTTTACAAAAACATGTAGTTCAATTGTCGAATTTTTCTCGCTTCATTGTCTATCAATGATTACCTTTTTTTTTTCCTTAGTCCTTTATTATTTTTGACGCAATGTTAATCCTCACACAACTATTAAAAATATGAGCAACAAACATATAATATGATGGTCACCTGTTACGGTACTAAACAACAAAGCCACCTCAAAGTCTATGATCGATTGTCTTCTACAACCAAAAAAAATATCCTGAAATATTTTTCAATCCCCCAAAAAATATACTATTATTAAAATATACAAAACAATATAAACTCATGTTGATCATGTCCCCAAACCCGTTGTTGTTCCAATAGTCCACCTTCCACCGCTCGATAGAGTGCCAAATTCGCCTAGTTCGCACACCTTGGCGCGTAAACGTCAGCACATCTCGCGCGAGCTCGGAAAACGAGGCGACGGAAGGTGTTTTGCACTTTCGCACGCAACAAAAACAACAACAGTAGGGAGGAGCCACATCCTTCACTGCACATACACCCAAGTACAACAGCACGAAAGGGCCAGAGGTGGAGATAGCCCTACTCCGCACAAGACAAGAGCGACGTGTTTTGCACACTCCCAGGCGCACGCGTGTGTGCGGGTGAAGGGGAGCTATATTTGTGTAATGCTGACCGCGGAGGCTCAAGCCACAGCCAGCAGGCCACAATCCAAACCCCCTCCACCCCTGACCCTTTTACACGCGACGATTTGCCGCAGTACATGTGTGTGTGTGTGTGTGTGTGTGTGGATGCGGCGCGTTGGTGGATAAACGCACCACCGCGGCTGTATTAACTTTGAATAAGAACAGCGTGTACGGGCTTGGGACTGAGATATGAATGGAAGGAGGGACTCGGGGGATAATTGCTTTTTGAGGTGGGTGTGCGCGCAAGGGGAGGTTTTCCTTCGTTCGGAGGCCACGCGCTTGGTTTTGCGAGAGAGGATCCCCGGTAGGGGGATGGTGGGTATGGGTTTGTTAGGGTGGTGATAATTTTTTTTTTTTTTTTTGTCTTATCAACTGTTGGGTGAGTAAAGATTGAAAAAGGATTTTTTTGTTTCGGAAGTCCTAAAAAAAAACAATGAAATCCTTGTAGAACATGAAAGTGTCGTTTGGTAAAAACGCCTTTCTTAGTAATAGATTGCAACAGGTTTTTTACGACTGTAATTTTTGTTTTTTATTTCTTATGAAGACTTAGAAGTAAAGTTAAGCGTATGAAAATTTGTTTGTTCCGATTTTTCAGTTTTCGAAGAGTTTTTCTTTTATCAAATTTTGTTTCCAAAGACGTTGCGTTTCATGGTATGCGCGAGATTAAGTAAGTAAGTTTATTTCATTTCTGGTAGTTCAAAAAATTATTTTCTTACGAAAATTTGATTCATGTATTGCAAACTTGAAAGTGTTACATTAAATATTTTTTCAGTGTTCGAATTACATTTCTAAGGTTTAGATAAGATACTTCACATTTTTTAAAAATAAATACAATACTTCTAAGAAACGTATTTTGTAAATACCCTTTGAGTAAGTGTAACTCTTATTATAATAAAAAAAGGTCAAAATCTTCTAATATACTTGAAAGCAGTTCTTTAAGAATCGAAAGAAGTTCGTACAAAAATCGTGAGATAAAAAAAATACATAAAAGTAAAAATAAAAAAAAAAATTAATGTCCTTTTCAAAGTGAATTCATTATTTGACATTAAATCTTACAAAAAAAGTTCATCCCATTATTGTAACCGCACACTCTTGAAGATTTTCCAAAAGACAAGAAGGCTAGATGGGTGCTTACAAAAAACCCATTTTTCCATTTTGCAAAATCTTTCATGCACACCATCAGTGTAGAAGCCATTAGAAAAATTATCAGCTTACGAACACACCGATGCCACAACCTTTCCCGTACCCCACCGCCTGCCGTAAATTTCATTACCTCCGTTGATGATAACAACAACAATTAATCAAACAGCAGACTCGGAAATCAGAAGAAAAAAAATTACATCACACAACAAATCGATCGATTCCTCAACCCGAATGTATACGCGAGAGGGGGAAAAAAAAAACAAATTGGCATCAACTCGAGCCGATCAATCAACCGGACCCGTCCTCAATTATACACGTCCCACACACAAGCGTGCAAGAAAGAAAGGAAAACGATGCGAAATCGAAGCCACGCAGGGGGGGGGGGGGAGGAAAAAAAGGAGGGACGACAGGACACGAGTCCCGCATCAGTCATTACAAATCCCCGACAATTACTCGCAAAGGGTGTCGGGGCCCTTTTAAAAATTCCGCGCGCGCTCCTGCCAGGTAGTATTCATCACTCATTCGACTCCCCTTCTTTCCTTCCTCAAGTTTTATTACACAGGGACTCGATGACGTTCGTCACGATCCTCGACTCGATCGCACTTCTTTTCCTTTTTTTTTTTTTTAACGATAGAGGAAGACTTATGGGACACGGAGTATGGATGAAGGGGCGTTGTTTTTTTTTTTTTTTTTTTTTTTTTTTTTTCTTCATGCTATTCGTGAAGAGTAGGAACCTACAGACGCGTACATCGCTGCAGAAAGACACGCGTACATACGAAAGG